GCTAAGTAGCAAACCTCATTCTGCTCTTGTTTTCACATGAATACATGTGGGCTGTGTCTACACTGGCCACTTATTCCGGAAAATCAGCCGCTTTTCTGGAATAACTTGCCAGCTGTCTACACTGGCCCCTTGAATTTCCGGAAAAGCACTGACGATCTACTGCAAGGAATCAGTCGCTTTTCCGGAAATACTATGCTGCTCCCATTCGGGCAAAAGTCCTTTTTTGGGAAAACTGTTCCGGAAAAGGGCCAGTGTAGACAGCACAGTAGTGTTTTCTGCAAAAAAACCCCGATCGCAAAAATGGCGATCGGGGCTTTTTTGCGGAAAAGCGCGTCTACATTGGCACGGATGCTTTTTCGGAAAAAGTGCTTTTCCAGAAAAGCATCCTGCCAATGTAAACGTGCTTTTTCTGGAAATACTTATAACGGAAAACTGTTCCGTTTTAAGCATTTCCGGAAAATCATGCCAGTGTAGATGTAGCCGTGGAGTTGCTCCATAGAGGCCAGTGGAGTTACTTCAGATTACTCCAGCTGGAGCTCAAAGTAGAATCTAGCCAATAGATAACTGATCCTCAGGAGTGTGTCCTTCAGAACTTTTTTACGCTGTTGTTCAGGGAGGACAGAATGCCAACCAGATGGTTCTAAACCCATCTAGTTTATCACTGTGGCTGTAAATGATCTTTTCAAAACAGACAACATCTGCCATAGCGATGCAGTCAGTTTGTGATTTGTGAATCAAATTTCTCCTAGTCAGTCAGTCCCCTGACTGTAAATTAATGAACTAGCGGTGATTGAATTTGCCCTTCAGCACTAACCATTGAAATCAACTTACTATAATTATCTAGAATTGGAGGAGGAGGGGGCTGGTAAAGACAACCTATCTGAATTCAGGGCCTTTTGCCTAACACTCCATCTGCAGTACATTTTAAAATTGAGTTGCCATGACATTTGGGTGCTTTAAGGAGGTTCCGCACTCTGACTTCCCCATGTCACTAACGATGGCTGCCAAGATTAATTTGACCTTCCGGGTATAGGCAAAATGGTGAGCTATGGGCCCCAATTCAGGAAAAGACTTGAGCATGTGCTTGTCCTATTAAAGTTAATGAGACTTTCCTGACAAGGGATGGATTTAGGCATGTTCTTAAGTGCTTTCCTGAATGAGGATCATGCAGAATTAAATCACATTAGTTTGGTTTATGTCAACATGCTACACAGCTATGCAGACGGGGTGTGATTTTTTTACCCTGTTTTTAACACACTGAGCTACTATATAGTTTAGAGAGTTTGTCTGTCCGTCCGTCCATCTGTGAGACTGTTTGTTCAAGAACTTCTTTAAACTGTAAAGCTAGACCACCCACTTTGGTAGGCAGCTTCCTCTTATCATAACTAAAAGCAAAGTCAGGGTTCAGTTGTGCCAGGACAACGGGATGTGCCTGGAATGGGATTGCTTCTCATCACATGGAAAGGGAGGAGTCTGCTGGGAGGGACAGTTATACTGTAGAACAGGGATAGGCGAAAGGGCCTACGTGGGCTGGATCCGGCCTTCCAAGCGGGTGGATTCAGCCTGCAGCGGCCCTGCCGCTCCCTGGCCCTCAAGCCAATTAGCTTCCTTTCACCCTGTGAGCAGTATGCAGTGCTTTAAAGCACCACACACTGCTCGCAGGGTGGGAAGAGACGTCATACGCTCCCCCACCCCCAAACCCTGATTGGCCTGGGGGTAGGGGAGCTGTGCAAAGTTTCTTCCGCCCTCCCTCCCCCCCACCCCGCGAAGAGCGCACATCACTTCAAAGTGCCGTACACTAGCATAGGGTGGGAGCAGGGCGAGGGAAGCTTCACACAGCTCCCGCACTCCCAAGCCAATCAGGACTTGGGGGAGAAGGAACATGTGACGTCTCCTCCCACCCGTGAGCAGCACGTGGCGCTTTGAAGTGTCCAGTGCTCCTCGCAGGGTGGGGGTAGGGCAGGAGGAGTGTTCGTGTGCCCCCCACCCCTCCACCCCGCCCGCAGGCCAACCAGTAAAACATTTTCAGAACTCCTGAAAAGGAGTGAAAACTTTTTTTATTTTGCTTACATAATTTTTATATACCTGGAACAGAGAATTTTTTCCCTTGAAGGATAAGCAAGGCTGGGAAGGGAGTTGGTCTTTATTTTAGGCCTTTTCTCCATGGGGGAAGGGAACTGACTATCCTAGCAATTCCAGTGTGGGCACTCCGGGCACTCCAAGCCAGGACTGCTTTGCAAGCGGGGAACCCTGAGAACTGTCTGTCCGGGGTGGGAGTCGGGTCCCTTTATGCGCAGCCCTCGGCTAGCCTGAGACAGCATCTCCACGCTCTAAGTCCTCCTCTGATGCCCTGCCGGCACTGCTTCCGGCCATCCTTAAGCCTGGTTCAGGGTCCACTTAATGTGGACATGCTAGTTCGAATTAGCAAAACGCTAATTCGAACTAGTTTTTAGTTCTAGACACGTTAGTTCGAATTAACTTAGTTCGAATTAACTAATTCGAACTAAGTTAGTTCGAATTAGCGCTGTAGTGTAGACATACCCTCTGATCTGGAATGCAAATAGGTTTATTCCAGAGTAATTACTTTGTTTTGTGAGCTGAATAATTATTGCAGATTAAATGAGCTCTAAAAGGAGCTAGTCTAGAATAACTACTGTTCCATTTCTCCGGAATAGACACATCTTTGGATTGTATCAGAACTTTCAACACCTTGTGACCACCCTAATATCTTTTTGTGGCCCTCCTGGGAGATGTAACCCACTCACTGAGGAAACACGGCCTTAATTTATTACAAATACGCTCAATATGATGGGCCATTCAATGTGTTCTCCTCAAATGGGAAGAATAGGTATTGAGAGCTACCATTATTTACTTATGGCTTAAATATCCACTCATTACCTTGCAAGGGCAGTAATGACTGTAAAATGGAGAACATATGCAGATTTACAAATGACTGGGATAGTCTCAGGGGAGAATATGACTAGCCTGAAAGAGAGTGGGGGTGGGGAATAACAAATGCCTGGGCATGTTGTTCCTTCATAAAAAGCACTTGCTTGGGCCAACATCAGAAAAAAATCCCAAACATGGCGGGGAAAATATTGGTTGAGCAAAAAAAAACCCCCCAAAATGGGGGACCAAACTTGTTGAGCAAAAAAAAAAAAGTCACTGCGCCTTTAAATGTCCCTGTGACCTTCCATCCAAGAAAAACAGACATGTTTGTCTGGACTATCTGGACAAAAAAACCAGACACCTGGCAACCTTAACTCTGGCAAGCAGATAACCATGAACTCTTGCCCACTGATATCAGTGTGACTCTCTGTGAGTAGGGACTGACTTGTGCAATTAAAAGTTAGGCCTCAGCGTAACCTGGGCACTGCACAATGCTTTGGAGCCACTACAGCAAAATGCCTCTCTCCCGCTCTGACCAACAGTGATACTAGTTCTCAGCTCAAATGTTTCTTATTAAAATACCCAAACACAATGCTTGTCCCCCCCGCCCCAGCCCTGCCGACACCCCTCCACCCCACGCCACCTCTCCCGCCCCAGCCCTGCCAACACCCCTCCACCCCACGACACCTCTCCCTGATGATTGGGTAGTAAAATGACATTGGCTGGAAGCCAAGAATATTGGAGCTCTTAACTCCTCTTCAACCAGTCTGTCCTTTGCCATCTTTTTTTACCACTTTTATTGTATTAAACAGTTTCAGTGCAAGCATTTGTACCATCACCTTGTCCAGAGAAACCCTTTATTTTGCTCTACCTTACCTTCACCGTGGCCCGGCTTTTGTGTTTCTTCAAAAGATTGTCCCAAAGCTGACAATGTTGAACCTCTGAAAGGTTGGCTGTCTTCAGAAAGTGACGGATGTTTCTCTCATGCCCTTTTGAGGAAAGCTCAGGAGTCTTCCCCTCCCCCTCTTTCTAATTCTGTATTTATACCCTGCAGAGAGACTGCAATAAATCAGCATTCCTACGTGTCTGAAACCTTAATGGACCGGAATTAACAATAAAGGAAAATAGCAAAGGGAGTCATGCTTATTGCCACTGAAGGCATAACTAGGTCTCTGTCATCCAGAGCTGAATCAGAGCTGTTAGGGCTATAAACTTTCAAAGCAATTATTAATTTTATGTAGTGGCTTCAGTTTAATCACCATGGGGGGGAGGGGAGGGATGTGTGGAAGGGGGAGGTAGTGGGAGTTGCACAAATGTGGAGACCAACTAGCTCTAGTTAAGATCAATGGGATCTGTAGGTACTTAGCAGATTTGATTACAAAAATTACCAAGCCTTCGGTGTATTATGTTGGGCACCCAAAAGAAGTGGTCACTTCTGTGTACACTGAAAGTATTTAATCCAAAAAGGCCATCCTAGAGCTGGGAAAGCTGCCTTTGATGGTAATAAACAGACATTTTCTCTCTTCCCTCTTTGATTTCTCCCCCACTCCCCGCATCCACTGTTAGTCTTACCATTGGGGAGAATATGGGTTTGCTTGACTGTAGTGGGTGATAACTGGCACACCAGAACAAATACTAGATTCAGGCAGATGCATAATTATTATATACTCATTGAATACCTGTGCTCAACTACAGGAGTTAGAGTTGAAAGCTGTCTCTTCCATGGAGGTTGTCTGCAGTCCCCCTGAATGTGAAATTCTTCCTTGTTGCCTCTCCTAGGGCTTAAGCCAATGGCCTTTGAAGACAACTGGAGTCTTCCCATTGACTTTCATGGCTATTGCATCAAGTCACTCAATTGCTGTCACGTGGAATTTTGCTGTGAATACATTTTGAAATTCAGTGGTGTTTTAAGTGTCTTCTCTTCATTGGGCCTGGCTCCCCAAACACTTTCACACAAGGATCTTTTCTCACATAGTAATTCTATCAGTGCCAAAAGGGGCCCTTCCATGAGCTAGCGAAATGAGCTACATAGGGTTGTACAGAATTGTAAATGCTCTCTCATACCTGTCAAAGTCAATGGGACTCCTTGTGTGCATCATAATGGGCTTAAAGGATTCAGTGCCTGACTCTCTTAAGCACCTAAATCCCAGCCTACAGCCCTGGATCAGTTGTTTATAAAGGAATTGGAGACCTTTTTGGGTGAATGATGCTCTATCACTGTAATTTAGTACACTTTTCTTTCTAATCAGCCAGCCTTTAGAACTGACTTGTGGGGGCAGAATTGGTTGGGGGGTTTTTTTGTTTATTTTTTAATCTACATTTGTTCTGACAAAATCCAATGGAAAGGAATCGCTCCACTTGTTTGGTATGTTGCAGGCAAAATCTACATTTGTTCTGACTAAATCCAATGGAAAGGAATCTCTCCACTTGTTTGGTATGTTGCAGGCAACGTATTTATGATGACATTTTTACCTTAGGGTTCTAAAATACGAATCTATAGGATGCATAAGAAAGACAAAGTCCTATCGGATCGGATCTGGCACTCAGATGCATTGAGCTTGGTCCTACCAACACCTCAGGTTAGACAGACACCTGTCAGGAATGATCTATTCTAGACAGTGCTTGGTCCTGCCGTGAGGGCAGGGGACTGGACTGGATGACCTCTCGAGGCCCCTTCCAGTTCTAGGATTCTCTCCTGGAAGGCGCTGAGCGCAAACCAGTGGCCTGTGATTATGTAACGCTTCCAATGTGGGTGTGCTGCCAAGACCCGGCTAGAATTCCCCATTGTACTGGTGCATGTCAGGGCATGTCTAACGATCAGCCACGTCAAATGGAGCATAAATTGGGAGTACCAGAGCACCAGGGGGCCTGCGTCCCTGACCTTCCTCCCCGTTCGTCAGAGCTCAGAACGAGTTTCTTATCAAGCGGAGTACTGCCGGCTCAAGCCCCCCACAATCATGAGGCAGGGCCTCAAAACCTAAGGAGGCTGGGTTAGAAACATGAGGGACTTTTCTTTAGGCTTTCTGAGGCGTTTCTTTACCATCTCATTTCTGAGCCTTTCGTGTGCACTCAGGTCACATTGTCAAGATTTTCCCTGAACCCAGAAGCAATAGAAACACACGTGTTTTAATACTAGGTGGGGAGTCACACTCAGGGTTGCTTCTGTGGGCCTAGCTCACACTTGAGGCCCCTGGCATCCTCTCATATTCCCCACAAGCCCACTGTGCCACCCTCCTGCCCCCCTGTTTGAGAAACTCTCTGATCTCCCCCATTTTCCCTTTTCCTGCCTAATGGCTCGTGGCTTTGGGTCCTCCTTCCCAGGGGCTCTGTGTTTCCCCAGTCCCTCACCCCACCCTGCTGATTCCTTTTTGTTCTCTCTGGGAGAGACGGCCTTCAAAGGTGTTTCTATTTTAAACTTGGCTGGGATGAAGGGTGAGGCTGCACTGGAGGGGGAGGTGCTGTGCTAGCAGGGGTGAAAGGCTCTGTCCTTAACGCCAGCCCGCTGAAGAAGTGGGCTGTGCCCATGAACTCTCATGATACCATCTATAAATTGTATTCGTCTCTAAGGGGCTGCAGGACTATTTGTTAGTTTTTAAGTTCATCTACAAATTGTATTTGTCTCTAAGAGGCTGCAGGACTATTTGTTAGTTTTTAAGTTTTTTCAGTTACAGACTAACTCGGCTCCCCCCTGAAACGTCTGCCCACCCACTTGTTAATCAACAGGCAAAGGCAGACCTGCTGGCGCACCCACCAGCTCTAAAGCCGCGGTCATGGGCCCCATATTTCTCCACTTCTTGAGGGTTTTTTTTTCCAGTAGTCACCAAAATCAATGGTCATGGGCCCCGTATTTATCCACTTCTTGAGAGTTTTTTTTCCAGTAGTCACCAAAATCAACAAGGTGCTGCCTGGTGCTGCCTAGAACCACAGGCACAGACTCTGTGAGAACTCCAGGGCTGGTGCACACACCGGGAACAATGAGCAGGTGCCAGCAGCCACCCCGCACCCCTTCATCTCCACCCCACAGCACCTGCAGGCAGCCCTAGTCCTGCCATGCTTGCCCAGAACTTCCAGACCACCACGAAACAGCTGTTTTGCAGCTTTCAGAGACTCCAAGAGGGAAGGGGAAGAGCCCGAATGGAACGTTCTTGAGGGAGGGGAGAAGGGGCAGAGCCTTGGGGAAGGCGTGGGGTGGGGGTAGGGCCAGAGGGGGTTAAGCATCCCCCCAGCCAGAGGGGAAGTCAGCACTTCTCCCTTTTTCATTTGTAAGCCCCTAAACTCTCTCAACTGGAGGTGTGGACCCCTTTGGAACTCTTAGGCCCCTCCACACCAGGGACCACTGACCTAGACTACTCTCTGCTGTTTTTGGAGTGGTTCAGCTGCCACGTTCAAGCAGCGAGTGCAGGCCTCCCGAGTCTGGCTCTTGCAAAATCACCCACCGGCAGGCGCTGGGGATTTGCCCAAAACATCAACTCGCCTGCGCTTCTTGCTCAGCTGTGAGAGTTGGCCCCCCCGCTACGCAGGTTCTGGGAATGTGAAGCTGCGGGCTCGCCCACACTGAAAAGGCTGCATTGGCTCAGCCGTGCCGCCATTGCACTTTACTGAAGATGCTCGAGGCAGGCAACCCATCGAGGTGCTCCGTGTGGCCCATGAGACATTTTGCTGACACGGTCCCCACGCACAGGGCTGTCAGATTCCACTGGTTTCCAGCACAATGGTTTTTTCCTACCCATATCACTAACATGACACATGTAAAGCCAGGGCACGCGAAGCGAGGTGCGTGCTGATTGCGCACAATGCAGGCTGGAAAATCCCGTTCCCCTCCCTCCAATCACAGCGCTGCTATGGTTCAATCGGCACAGCCCACCAAGTCTAGGCACGCAGACGCAGGGAGCACAACGGCCCTACCCCAGGAAACTGTCCTGTTTAGGATAAACTTGTGGCACACTGAGATGAAGCCGGCTCACTATCTGAGGTTGCCCATCACTGCTTTAAGCCAATGGCTGAGAAATCTCCCAGCAGCTCAGGATGTGTCTACACTGGAGAGCTTAGAGAGGCACAGCTGCCCTGATGTCTTCGCGCTACTGTCAGATCTCCCTGTGCCGGCAGGAGACAGTTCTCCCAACGACATAATGAAACCACAAGCGCAGTAGCTGCGTTGGCAGGAGACGCTCTCCCACCGAACTGTGTCACTTAGGGGTATGGATTTTTCACACCCCAGAGTGACGTAGTTACACGGCCATAGGTCTGCAGCACAGACAAGACCTAAGCTGGTCCAAGAGCGTCCGGGAAACACGGCGTTTCTGCCTTGACTAGTTTTAGCATTTACTTTCCTCTTACTTACTGAATGAGAGATGAGCTCCTGGACTTTTGATAGGGGTTGCAAAAACTATCCACAGTCACTCAGGGGTTTTCAAACTTTTTTTCCCATGCCCCAGTTGATGAAAATTGTTGATGGCCATGCCCCAGCATCATTTGCCTAGAGGGCTAGGTCCAGGGAAGGGCTGAGGAGGGGGTGTCGGAGGTGGCACCAGCTTTGGTTGTGGAAGGGGGTCAGAGCTGGGGCAGGAGGAGCTTACCTGGAATGGCACCCGGTCAGCGGTGCAGTGGGGGTGTTAAAACAGGCATCCTGCCTCCTCGGGCATGGCAGACCAGGCTGTGCCCCAGAAGCAGCCAGTAGCAGGTTCCCAGCCAGTGGGAGGGCAGAGCTAGTGCTGAGGGCAGGGGCAGTGTGGGGAGCCCTGTGCGCTCTCCCCCTCCTTCCCGCCCCCCACCTAAGAGTCAGGCCTGCTGCCGACCACTTCTAGCGCACAGCACAGTCTGCAGGGCCTGGACAGGCAGGGAGCTGCCTTAGGCCCCCCACTGGTCACCTGACCCCCCCAGTAGCAAAGAGACCCAGTGCTGGACATACCACAGTTTGGACACCACTGCTGTGGCTACTTAGGGCTTCAGGGGGGCTATTATACCTCACTCTGCAGGACTTACTCCAGTCTGTAATTTCTAA